ACCGGAAATCGAATATCGATTAATATCGTAAATCAAAATTTATGTTGCTGTTTAATTCCATCGTCGCAAAAGATTTGACGTTTTCTCTATCTTAGTCTTAACTTGTAGAAAATTTGGTACTCATCTCTATTTGGCAAAAGTACGTCGGATTTTCTGTACTAACTAATATAAAACAATCTTTTTCATTCTTATTCTTTCTACGTCTAATATTTTAATGCCGAATCTGTCGAAATGAACCGGTCTGCAGAAATCCTGGCAAGACGTTTCTCTCTCTTTCTCGCTCTCCTCTCTCTTCGTCTCTGAATCGCCGCTAACGATCGAAAACCGCAAGCGGAAAGTAACGAAAATTTATTCATCCAACTAAAACGTTTTCCATGTTATTTTTTAAGCGTTGGATAAATACCGATCCGGCGTTTTGTCAAATATCTAATAAAAGTATCTCCGTTTTTTTCTTGCCGACATTCAAATCGATAGTTTTCTACAAGTTATGATTTGATAAAAAAAAAGTCTTTCCCGAGTCGAAATATTAATTCTACATTGATCCTGCAAATTGCATCCAATTTGAAAAATCAATGCAAAATATCTAGATGCGCAATAGTGAACAAGCTTTGTCCTACCTGAACTTTACATCTGGCTACTCTCGCAGTCTCGCCCATGATGAGTCTTCAACAGCGACGTATTCCGCAGTTATTTAATACTCGTTTATCTTAATAATGTATATGTACTTAATCCTTATATTCTTAATTTAAATGAGCAATTTTTGTTGATGTTGATTATATATTCGCTTAACAGCGCAAGAAAGAGAACAAAGATAAAAACGTAAATAGAACTGCCTTTGTTAGAACTGCGCGTGAGATAAATATATAAGGATTAAATAATCATATAAGAATTAGAGGAAATGGGAGATGAAAAACACTTTTTATTCTCATCATTCTTAAAGTTCTTTTTTTCTTTTTTCTTCTCTTTTTTTTTCTTTTCTTTTTTCTAATGAGAATGATGAGAATTGTAGCTCTCAAAAGAGCTGAAGCTGCAAAAAGACAACGGTTATGTCTAATAATGCTGTTTCACTTATAGAGATTTTAATTCTGATTCGGTACAATAAGAAAGATAAACAAGAATGAGAAACGGACATTCTAGCAGATTCTAAACGAAAACAGCAATCTGAGCATTATTAGACGAATAAAAATCAACACTTGTAAAATTTATATCAGATTCTAAGATCATTATTCATAGTTTTCTAAATTATGTGCAACTTTTTATTGAGAACATAATTAAAAATTTGTATTCATAAACCTTGGCTTGCCTCAGCAACCTTGCTTCAATAGACATTCGTATTTTATGCGAAAAAAAAGTAGAACTCATGTTACGTGAAATTAGGTTAACGAATAATCAAATCTCAAGCTATTTTATCATTTTTCAGATGATAAACTATGAATGCTGATCTAATTTCGACTCGGGTATGTCCTTACTTCGAGTAAGGTCCGTTAAAATCAGAAAAATAATAATGCGTAATAATAATAACTCGAGGTACCTCGAATACCATACATGTATCGCTGTCCTCGGCTACGTCTCTCAGCGCGCTCCAAGTCCTCTCTCCATCCTGACTTCTCGATCCGACGTCCTCCTTCTGGTTCTGGTCCTCCGTCGCAGCACTCCCAGATACTCCATCGTAGCACTGGCGACGACACTGACTCTAGCTCTAACACTCGCGCAAGTAAGATTCGGGGACAAAGAAACGCGTATTAACCGATACTCGTATTACTCTGCGTCGCGGTATGCGCGTCGTTCGTCGGCCCGAGGCGCAATGTCCTTTCCGCAATCACGGAGTCATGTATAAACGTACGAAAACAAACAATCGGGAAGGCACGGTTACCCCCCACCTTGCCGATCAGTGTTGATGCCTGCGTCGTCCGTTAGCTGAAAATGAAAACAACTCGTGTTTTCAAAGCATGCCTGTGAGAGATTCGCTTCAAACTTCACAATACTTGTTTACGTCTGTTCCAAGAATTATATTACACCGAATTCAAACTGTCTCTATTGACATGACATACATACGAGATTTGCGATCGCATCATTGATCTTTCTTTGGACAAGAAATTCCTGAGAGAAACGCTGTTCGAGAATATCGCATTTTATGTTTCAGGTGCCTTGCAGATTACCGAATCCGATGTAACAGATCAGTGGTGCGATTCTTTAACTCGTTATTGGAGTTAACGACACTTTCGTTATCGTTGCGCAGCTTTTGTATACCGTAGAAAAACTGCGCAACGATAACGAAACTGTCGTTAACTCCAATAACGAGTTAAAGAATCGCACCACAGGGAAAGTATGAATACGTCGCTATGAATAACACCGTGGGAAAAATCCCATATCAAAATATTTCCATATTTTCAATTCGTCTCGATCAAAGATATTCTCTCTCTTTACCGCAGATTATCAACTGGGAAAACTACTTTTCTGTTTCAGTTGTTGCGGAAAGCAACAGCAATCCGGCGAACGCGGATGCTGTACCGGAGGATCCGGTTCGGGCCAAGCAGAGTCGGTCGGAAGGTAAAGTTTACAAGTTTCCTACACATCTGTGTTCAACTCTTTACAATCTTTGCCTTTGCGACTTGTTCCTCATCATCAGCTCTCTTGAAAGCTTCAAGTTTCATTTAAATTTTCAATGTTGGAACAAAAATATAAAGATAAAAATTCCTTATCAAAATATTTCCGTATTTACGATTCGTCCCGATCAAAAAGATATTCTCTCTCTACCGCAGGTTATCAACCGAGAAAATTATTTTTCTGTTTCAGTTGTTGCGGAAAGCAACAGCAATCCGGCGAACGCGGATGCCGCATCGGAGGATCCGATTCGGGCCAAGCAGAGTCGGCTTGAAGGTAAGTTTACAAGTTTACTATAGTCCTCTGTTTGACTCTGGGCGATCTAGAGCTGGGATATAATCTCCGGCTCGACTTGAATTACGATCGCAGAGGGTAAACTACTCTTTTACTCGCCCGCACTTGTTGGTCAAATTTAATGAGCGAATGTGAATTTTTTGTTACAGAGTTGAAGCGGAACGTGGCCGGCTCTGACTGCAAGTCGTTTCGGTGAGTAAATACAAAATGAAAAGAGAAACTAAATTCCACATGACGGATGTGGGATTAGATAAAATATCGTTCAAGTCAATGCGAATTGCATATAGATTCTTGCATGTTGGGATTTTGCATGTGTGTTTGTGACGTTGAATAAAATACATTGCTCGAAACAATCAGGGGATTACTTGATCGATAGCCTGCATTACATACGAGATTTAAAATAATAATTCTGTTTTGATGTTCAGTCATCTGAATAAGAGATATTCATATCTGCAAACGCGATACCGTCATCAGCTGCTTTATTTTCATTTTTCAAGCGGACCGCAGAATTATTTAACGACAATTATTTGACAATATTCAATTGTCCGTGTAAAATATATTCATACGCATAAATGCCGATACCGTTGGCTACGTTTCTTTTATTTCCAAAATAGGCTGTAGAATTATTTGGCAATATTGACCATTCATCACGATCCCTATTGTCTCGAGTAGCGTATAATGCGCGCAGAAATTGCGCCAGCGCACGCCGAGCTTGAGGTATCCTCGCTCGCGTGCCTTTGAATATCGCAACCGCGGTTCTCAATATACGCGATTTTACCCGTGCTGCTAACAAAGAAAGCTTAAATTCTCATTTTGCCAAAATATCGCGAACGTAAGCTTCGTCGTGACGGAACTATCATGCGTGAAAACTTTGCCCCGCTCTCTCTCTCTCTCTCTCTCTCTCTCTCTCTCTCTCTCTCTCTCTCTCTCTCTCTCTCTCTCTCTCTCTCTCTCTTGGCGCTCCCTCGGGGCCACCGGTTTCTGATTGTCTAATCTTTCCTCGTGCATTCGCGAATATTTCACTCGTAGATAGCGATACTCCCGCATTTTCGCGACTTTTCAGACGCGATCGCGAAAAGCGCCGTAAAAATCCGTTGGACCAGTCGATAAATTTTCATTTTCGGTTCTTGCTCCTCGCCGATCGAGGAGTTTATTTAGACTCCGTTTCGCAGCATGTAAAAAGTTTCCACCGATGTCGACGTAAAACGTTCGTTAATTGACGCAAATATCGCCGCTTTAATACAAGTATCGACCGCGTCGCGGAAGTGTGGTGAAAATGTAGCAGTCAACGTGGGACGCGCTGCAAGATGAATGCTGCACGACATGGAGAGCGGCAGCGGACATTGGTGGATATTGGTGGACCTGATTGGATGCAACGGGACATCATTAATATCATCATCGGTGAGTGTTTGACTCAGTGCTCGCAGAGAGCTCTTTTATTATTACATTGTGCATGCCGCAAATTTGCATTGACTTTTGTAACGAAAAATATATTCCACGAATTACTGCCATATATTATGACCATATATTATTGCCATATATATTGTTGCCATATATTATTGCCGTATATTGTTGCCATATATTATTGTCACATATTGCCATGTATTATCGCCATATATTATGGCCACTTGAAATCGCGCGAACAATCGAGAAAACTGAATTTGCATACGCGCAGTCCCTGTTTTTCTTTTATCTCCATACTACTGGAAAATAGCCTTGCAGAATTTAATCTATCTACACCATGAGAGTGGCGTTGGAGCAGTACTCTATTTTGCCCAGAACCATTTATTGAATTGAATTGAATTGAATATCTGAATTTTCTTGGCGTATATACAAGTTAGAGTTTTGTTCAAATAATATAATTTAACGACAGGTAAAATGTCCCTTTCTAAAACTTACGCCTTAAAAATTGGATAAACTATTTTTTAATTGCATAAATAATTATAATGTGCGTTAGTTTTTTGCTTCTATGTTTCTAAAATGATTCTGGGGAATCTTGTGATAGATTATTATTAAGGAATAAATTAAACACTTATTATCGGTTCTGACAATGAATTATACTAGTCTGTAGGTAAAGGGACAAGAGAAAGTTCACGATAATATATAAAATCTTACTAGTTTATTGTATATACCACGATGAACATTTAATATTATCTTTATTTAACAATAATGCTCTCTAATTAACAAGGTATGGTCCAATTTAATGTGAATACGTAAGTAAGACGGAAGGCACATATTTTCTTAAGTGGAACATCGGCTCGCTTGAGTTTTTTCTTGCAGAACTTCTCACGATATCTTTTACTTTACTTATCTTATAATTGTTAAACAGGTATACTATAAATCACGTAGAATGTGACAGACAATAATGAACAGATACAGTCGAGTCCGTTTATTCCTCTATAAAGATTATTTGGACGGAGATTTGAACCGTGAACGGATACGCGACTTTTCGAAGATATTTCGATATTTCTGATGATATAGTATACTGGGAAGACAGAGGGTAAATGGGATAAATTTTCCAAAGTAATTGGCATCTGCATCCTATCCTTTGTTCGCGTCGGTAATAACCCGGGTTTCAATAAATTACAATTTACTTATTATAAATAAATACGAGGAAACGCGTATTTGTGCAACGCCACTGTGAGAATACATCGTCTCGTCCATCTTTTCAAGTTATAACTCAAGGCAGAAAATAAATTAAAGTATGCGGCAACGTTTAATAGCCACTTACTACACTTACTCACAATCATGTCTAAGAAAGTATCACTAAGAAAGTGTCAAGAGGAGACATACAGGCGAGTTATGGGTGGTGGCCCCTTAGTAGAAATAGAGAAGCTTTGTCGTCGATGATTCAATCTACTGATGTCCGGGGGATGATAGTCGTCTTTGCGACATGTACGGATTCTGAAGTAATCGCGGTGAACACTCGATCACACGTAATAGTAACGCATCAATATACTCTTCAAGATCGCTGAGTCTCTTATTCTTCTCCGTGATTTGCGCCTGCAGATGCAGCGCTAGTTCTATCAAATCCTGTAAGCAAGACGTTTCTCAATTAGAATGAAAATCTTATATTACGAAAAAAGAAAGTAATTACATGTATGTCTAATGAGAAAAATAATGGACGATAATGATAAAGTGAATCCAGTGACGAAAACAAAATCAGGAAAGTAAATCTATTAGTCGAACGAACAAAACGAAATCGAGTAGCTGAAATGATTAAATCGGTTATCGAGAAATCTTCTCTTTACCTCTCTCGACTTTCCTTCAAACTGGTTTAAGACCTCGTGCGGCAGGCGGCTCCTCGAGTTCGCGGCGTTTTTCCCCGCGTCCTCGCCGCCGATGATGATTCTTTCGGAAGACAGGTGATTCTCATTGTTGAACTTGTTTTCCTTGTCCCTCTTCTTGTCCTTCTTCGCGTGCTTCTCCTCCTTGGGGCTGCGTTTATCCTCCTTTTTGTCTCTTAGTTTGTCCTCCTTCAGTAATTTCTCCTTACTCAAGGCAAGCTTCTCGTCCTTGTTCTTCGGCTGTAGGATTTCCCTCGGCGCCGGACTGGGCGGTTCCGGTGGTTCATTCAATCTCAACGCCGGTGATGGCGAACGGATCGGCGAAGCGTCACGTTTGCTATCTTGCGGCTCATCCACTACGATTTTAGGATTCGGTTTGCTGTCCCATCTAATCAACATAAAACATAGAAATTTAATACTTCGTTCAATCGATACGGTTTGACTTCGTCTTGGTTTTAATTATATTAATTATTGAGTACAATTTTATCAAAGACATGTTACATCGTTGCTAGGCCTATCCTCAAAAGAGGACAAATGCAATCTCACCTCTTGGGAACGCTGCTAGCCTGTTTGCCGTAGAGTTTCAAACCCCACTCATCGTCCTTCGCATTGTCGACCTTTGACAGATTCGTCGTGGACGCGCTCATGACAAATCGCGGTGGCTTGTTCGGCGCGGCGTTAATCGGCAGCGGTGGAGTGTGATGCACCTCGCTGGAGATGTTGCTCTGCGAGCCGTTCTGAATGCCGACGCCATTAGTATTGCTGCCATTTACACCTGGCACGGGTGCATTCAGGGACGAGGCCGAGCTCTTGTGAGACAAATCGTCGAACTATATTATACATAACGATTTTAATATTAAACCTATGATGACTTGCGTAATTCAATCGAACTGATTTAAATTATAATTGGACATGTTTGCCGATGATACACATTGTTACAGAAAATATAATTCGCTCGTGCTGACCGTAAACTCATCTTCATCCTCGCTAATAACTCCAGGATCAGCTTCGCCCGGTTCCTGCCGAGTAATCCTGCCAAACTGGTGTTCCTCCTTCTCGTCGAGGTTGTCGGCGTCAAGTCGATTCTTACTCTTGCCTTTGACTTTGTTCCCGATCGATTTCGCCAGCTTCTTAAGGCCCTTGCGTTTCTCAAGACTACCGATGCTCAATAAACTACCGCCGATCGATTGCGCGGCGGTCGACAGCTGGCCCAGCGAGCTTTTGTGACGCTCCTTTCTCGTCAGGTCGGTCAGGCTTCCAGCTTTCACGATGAAGCCGATCTTCACCTCGAGTTCGCCTCTCTCTTTCGTGTTCTCCTTGCCTGGTTTGCTGTTAAGGGCGTACCTAATACAAACGCATTTGCTCTTTCACGATTTCATGCTCTTTGTCCATGACGAGGGTAAAACAGGTAGTTTCGCGAAACAATCGCACCGCGATATGAAATACTCGTCGGTTATCAGAAAATGGTCTCTTTCTTTGGTAACAACGAACGTAACGTGGAATAATGACATAAATATGTCCGAGACACAGATAGAAGTCAGATAAGCAAAAGACATAACTACGCGTGTAGAAAAAAAAATTTAAGAATTCTACCAATGAACAAAGCTAGCGAATTCGCACACTCGACTATCAGATTGAAGAGAAAGAAAAGGGGAAAAAATACTTTGCTGCACACGAAAAGCGAGCGGTTAATTACAGCGTCACGTAACAAGTCCGATACGCGGAGGAGGAATGCGGGCGATTAATAAAATAGCGAAAACACCGCGGTAAAACGCGGCGATTTCTCTTTCCTGCGCGGCTCGTCGATTTCGCGCTTCGCCCTACGGGAGGATTCCGGCACGGAATTAAAAACATGCTGATTGCGCGATTGCACACGAGTTGCGGATACGTACCATCTGTTTCTGGGCCTCTCGTACACGTCGAAGCTCGAGAGGGGTATGCTGATCGTGCCGAGGAACTCGTCGACACCCAGGAAGTTACGGTGCAGGGCGGTGAGGATGATTTCCGCGGTGTTACCCTGTTCCGGAATCAGCAGCTCGCATTCCTCGTGCCATTCCACGTCCTTGACAGCCTTCTCCTTCACCGACGTCTGGTACTTTTCCTTGCCGAGGGCGATCGTCACGAAACAGTCGTTGGTCTCTGCATGAAATATGTTTCACAGTTCGGCGTCTCGCGTGGGCAGTGATGGCCGAAGCCGATTAATGAGCCACGTAACGGGAATTAAAGGTCTCGCTCGTTGGCGGTGAGAGGGACGCATTGTCTATCAGCGATGTCACGCACGGAAAAATATCTCTGCTACGTTCGAGCAAATATTTCAGCCGTATTTCAGAAGTTTATACACCCGCAAATTCAAGAAAGTTAGAAGAAAATGATACCTTTCGAAGACCTTTACGAAGACGCTCTCGCGATGAGAATCCTGCAGAGCTCTACTCGCTATTTTTCTATTATTGTTAAAAAATAATTTATATATATATATATATATATACCACTTGACTCTCTCGGTAGCGAGTTTCAAATGTGCCGGTTAGTGAAACGTGGATATTCCGGATTTGCATGTTGATTCGAGTAAACGCGAGTGGATGGCGTTTAACTGGAAACGAATACCAGTCGAGGTAACTCGATTTTCTTGCGGAATTAGGTACGACCAAGTGCAGCTGGATCGAGCAAAATGCCACGTCGAAGTCATTAATTTATAGTTTTCAGCCCGTACATAAGCCCGTCATTAACTCGTATGATGTACATCCGCTCGTTAACTCCGCGCTACGTTTGCTTATTTTACGTCGTGGGCAGTAAATACAAGTGTCAACGTGGTGTATCGAGGACAATCGTCGACTCACCGTGTCGTTATACCGTTTATTAGGACAGGATAATTTACAAATACTTCGCGCTTAATCGTGTCGCGTTAATTTGGCAGCTCGAGCTGCCAAATTCTCCTTAAAACGCACGTACGTATCATTCTTTTAATTCTCTCTCCTCCGCAGAAAAAAACTTTCTCATGATTTCCCTTGAGAATGAAATGAAAATTATGCGTTTAAATGTCAAAGATATTTTTCTCAGTGTGAGCAATGTTGCGATTTCTATTCTCAGCACTTATCGCTGCATCACCACATCACGTCACGAATCCTTATCATTTCCTTCATGACGTGTTCTGATTGTTTTGGACACGCGAAACCGCACAAAGTTCTCGCGATGTATCTCGTGACGCGCAATCCGAGTCTGCTGAGACAGCGGAATCATCCACACGTCGTGGACGCACGTCGTATCTGCCAGTCGACACGTCGTCAGTCTAATGACGTATAAACACGAAAAAGTCTTATTATATTTTTTGCAAATTTGGATCGCTGGCTCGCAAAAAGCCGGTGACTTAAAATAGCGGCGGCGTAATACGAGATCGCTCAGTTATCAGCGCGAACGCGCGAATAATGTTGAAGAGCAGATAGGCAAGGAACGTGACGACGCAAGCTTCGATAAGTGGTAGAACACGTGACAGAGCTGGATCATCGAGAAATTTTAAGATCATTGTATATAACGTGCTGTATGAAATAACAAAGCGTCGCTCTCACCTTACGATCGAGACCGCAGAGGTTGAGGATTTCTACTGTTCGACTGGTCTTCAAGTATTCTAAAAATCGTATTCTTAACGGTTCGCATTTTTTTCTCCAAATCTAGGAACGAGGTTCGCAGGTGTGATCGGACTGAAAATGTGGTGTATACTCACTGTGCTTTCCTTTGGTCAGTAAATCCTTGGCTCTCTGAACTGTAAACAATGAAAAGAAAATGTCAGCGAGTATACATATGGTGTAGACGAGTAAGTATAGATATTGGGACTAAGGTATCATTCACGCTCATCACGAACGTTCCTGCTATTTTTATCCAGCTTGTTTACATTTGAAAGCGCACTTTTGCGAGATAAATCGCTGACCGAGCGCATTATCCAGTCGCGATCGATCTTTCATCAGGAGCTGCTTTATATTCATTGATATCGCAGATATTATCAGAGCTCGTGGATCGTGGCGATCGTAGCGAAATAAACAACCGTACGTAAAAATGAAGCGTATTCTATTGCTTGTTCCACAGCGATCGATGATCGAACGTCGATTGAATGTCAACGCCAACAAAGCGCGCGTCTTGCAAGTCGTCGCGAGAAAATAGCAATTTCTCAACAGCTCTCGCACGCACGAGTCCACTTTTTCCGGCTTTAGCGGCTTTCCTCGCGAGTTTACGCGAAAATCTTTCGCGTAATGGCTTTCGCGCATAGTCGTTCTCTCGCTCATATCAGAGTAAGAGAGCGCGGCTTGTATCAGCTACCGCCCCATTATTGGTTTCACGATCCGCAGATATCACGAAGCACCGCCCTATTATCCTTGTTTTCCACCCGCATGCCGCGCAGTTCGTCCTCAACGGGAAAATTTTATTCTCTCGTGATTTAAATTGAAATGCGATATTTTCTTCCTGCGTGAAGCCCAGAAACACGTGTCAGCATCTGCATGCGCGATAAAGCAATTAATTCGAATTCAATCAGCACTTTCGATACAAGACGTTTGCGAAATGAGGACAAAGTTAATTAGAGCAACATCGGCCCATGTGGAACATCGTCGTGCGAGAGGCGATGTGTATGCAAACAGAACATCGCGACTTTCAAAGCTTGCAAACCGAGCGGCAAGTGCGCGTAGGCGCATTTATCAATTAAACCTTCGCGTAATTTCGTGGAGCCTTGATCAAAATACAGATTTTAAACGATGAAGTCGCACAGTTATATCGTTCTCAGACACACTCGAAACCAAATCAAATCGAGTTGAACGACCTCAATTTTAAGGTTGTGTATGACGAACCAACTGCCTGAATTCTTTCAGCAAGATTTTAGTGTTCTCATTTGGTGCAAAATAAACTTAGAATTTGGTCCAACGAGGCGATCATCAAGTTGACTCGGTTCGTTATTAGTTATATTTATCCTCTCATTTATTTACTCCTTCACTAGACTCATATTACGAAGTTGATCAACCACTTGATGATCGAAAGACCATCTATATCCATTCATGCGACTACGTTTTAGTCTCATTAACCTACTGACTAGATTTTCTTCTTCAAATTCCTACGTTGGATTGTCGATTCGACTCGGCGCTTCTTCCAATTTCATTCGATCGCAGTTTGCGAAAAAATATTATGCAACTTCGAGTTCCTTTCACCCGACTCCTCTCCAGGGTGTGTGTGTGTGTGTGTGTGTATACGCATAGAAAAAGAATCAGCCGATGAGAAATGAAGACGGCAAACCAGGACGATATCTAGTCGCTGATCGCTCATTAACGGTATCATGCCTCATTGTGACTGTACAGCTTCAATCAGGACGATATCATCTTCATAGATGATTTATCGTTGCTGAAGTCGCGAAATTAAGTTTGCATAATTGGCCGAATTCGTGAGACGATCGAGATCTGGGAGATTTACTGTTGTAGAAAAGAAGAAGCAATATACATATATATGAAAAGAAAATCAAAGCCGCGCGTCTCTCCCAGAGGAGAGTCCGTTAGTTCGTGGCGCAGAGCGTTACCGAATAACTGTAGGAGGCACTTCCTCGTTCTCACACGCGTAAACAGCGATGAACCGTAATGAACGTACGAAGGAGGTGCATATTCCCCGATTTCTCGCGGCACTTCGCGGCCGGGAGAGCGAGCCGACGACTCTTTCGCCGCGTTTTCCTCCACGCTCGGATTCGAGAGCCGACGGACTCGAAAGGAGCCCTTGCCACGAGATTGCAGTCAAAGCACCGCTTAGTCGGAAAGGAGCATTTTTTAACGCTTCGTGCATCCCAGCAACGTAGCCGCGCTCAAAATGACGGAGGACGCTCGACCGAATTTCACGAGAGAAATCCGGTCTCCCTCTACCGAGATCTTACCGGGTCTTCTGAGCAACCGCGTCCATTGCGATGAGAGCGTCTTTTGCTTCTTAATTGCATTAATGTTTCAAATATATGAATCATTTGAATCGAATAAGTCTGAGGATTCTATAATCTTGCTGAGGGGCTGGTGGAGAGGCAAACATTAGACGATATTTGCGTGAGTGAAAAAGAAAAAAATACATACAGATTTACAGCACATAGACACAAAGTGGTGCATCACTACGTTTGCAAGCTATTAGTGGAGCATTACTTTGCACTTAAGTGTTATAAACACGTAAGATTTTCTTTCTTCACTCAGACGATTATCAGCGTTCGGCTATTTCGCTTCGGTTGTTACGTTTTCGGCAGCATTGCAAATTCATTCAGAATCCTCACGATTTACTTGCTCAAAGTAAATGATGTATTGTACGATATATCGATTTCTCGTGAAAATAATTTAACCTTTATCGAAAGTTTGACGTCGTGGCTCCCAAGGGCATACCCACAGTACTGAGCAGGGGAGTACCTCGTGATGCACGTTCACGGACGGAAAGGGGAGCATCGGACAACCGCTAAGCATGCTTTTACGTGTCGCCTATTTTGCATCGAGGTACGAAGAGAACCGGTAACTTGTCACAACGAGAATTCAACGGGCACTGCGAGAAGAGGGTTCACGATTACCGCGTACGCACACGCAGTCTTGCCGCGTAAGAAAAACGCGAATTATTACTACTACTAACTCATACTTCGCTGCAATTCGCATCAAGTTAATTTCTACCAATTCTAAAAGTTCTTTTAGAACCAATTTAAGAATTCCACGTACACTAGGAAAAAAAATTTAGTATCTCTAACAAAACTGTTTAGTTGAGGCATTTTTTAATAGCAACCAAATATCTTGTTTTATATAACAAAATATTTAGTTGTCTCAACTAAATATATTTTTCTGCTTTGTTCTCTGAACCAAATGATTTTGTTCTTAGACTTCATATATAAAAATTAAGCATTTTAGTTTTTTTATCCATAAAAATTACATAATAACGAAATATTATTTTACATAAACTAAAATAATGCTCAATGGATACTATTTTGTCTTTCTGTGCACTAAAATTTAGATTTTATATATTAAGAAAAAAGTTTAGTATTTTTAACAAAATTCATATAGTTAAAGCTTTTTGGTTGCTATAACAAAAGTATTACGTTATACGAACAAACCGTAATCAAACAAGATATTTGTTTACAGGAACTAAACAGTTTTGTTGGGCATATTTTAACCAAATTATTTTGTTGTTGCAACAAAATTTTGGTTCACGCAACAATATATTTTTCCTAGTGTAGCTTTCTAGGTAGTCTAGGTAGTGCCGCGTGATTTCGCGGATTTAATTCCAGGCAAACAAATGCACGATGATGAACAAGTTTGTGCCGTATCACGAATGCGAAAACGCACGTTCGCGTAATCTTCGCACTTTCCCGAGAATATTTTCCAAGTCAACCTTGGGCGATCTTCTGGATCAATCCCGCTGGATGGCCTAGATTTTTCGCGCTGGCACCTGGCGGAGCGTCATGATCGTTGAATTTTCCGCCAGAATTTTCGGCTTTCCTCCGCGGCGCGAACGCACGCATATCGCGCGTTATATCCACGCGACTCTCGGCGACCGCGATACTCTCGATTTGACACTCGCTGTTGCGCTACGCCCGAAGGTAAAAGTTTCGCGCGCTAATTAGGAGGACAAGTGCTCGCGCTTTCGCGAATTAAGTCGCACTCTCGGCGAACTCGAAGGCGTCCTTATCTCTCGATCGGCTCGCGGTGAATGGCGAGGTTTAATTGAAGATTTCGTTTGTTAAACTGCGCATTGAAAGTCGCAGGAACCAAGCGGATTGAGTGACTAGCATGAAATCGTCGCTGAAATGCAGGTTAGGTAGGAAATGCAGGAAACTGCCGAAAAGTTTCTCAGGCAGTTAAATTCATATTGAAGTGACGTAGCACGCTCTTTCTGTCACGCGACTTCTTACGAAATCGACGGATAATTGTATCGCACAGCAGTTGGATGAGTCATTAATTGTGTGCACGTTGAACACATTGTATTGAACACACTGAGAGAAAAAGGCGATTAATTATTGAAAATTGCTGCTATTATTTTCTTACTCAATGTATATCGTGACTGACGGATAATGCGCCTTATTTGAAGCTAAGTATCATCAAGCGTAGATACAAACGTAAAATGGCAAATATTTTCACATCATCTGATGGAATATTTACTGTCGCGGATAGATCTGTTTCCCCGAAATGACATTCGTCCTTGCCTTCGCATGATCCAACGCATCCGCATAATTGCATCTTGTTTAATTGTCTGTCGTAGTTAATTGAAGCTATTACTGAGAGCTGTTGCAAATCGTATAATAGAATTACAGTGGGTGTACATAGATCATCCACGGCAGTGCCCGAAATTGATTACGCTTTTCAGGCGTTTTTCAGCCTTATCTGAAGTCACCGTTCATGTTTTAGCAACACGAAAGGTATACTCGTTGCTATTTGCAGAAATTCAAACCGATAAGAAATGGAAGATAGAACATGAATGGCAAGAGCTGAAGCGAAGGAAAGTTGAAGAAAAAGACATGATATGTTTAGATATATAATGAGAAGAGTTAACAAATATTTCACAGAAGAGAAAGATATGCTCTTGTTATTTGTTATTTAGAAAGTAGAGAAATTACCCGCTATTTATTCTCACGCTATTAACATTTACTTAAATTATTTATAACGTGCGGGGTAATGTTGGTATTTATCACGGCGATTTTGAGGAATTATAATTTCTAGATAAAATCGAAACTAGCCTGTTGACGAACGTAGAACTCGGCGTGAAAAGCGAAAACCGCTCTTCGAGCCGTGCACATTTTCAGACGGTTCGGTTCGGACTTAAATATATGTTATATCGACGTAACGACGACATGATGACACATCGCGAAGCAACGTAGCGTGGCGTGTCGCTGCTTCACTTTTGTAATGCGTCTTCGAATTTAAGATAACAGAAGCCATATCATATCAGAGATATAATGGATTATTGACATTGAGTACAGAGGACATCGATTGGTGCTAGTATGCGAAATGTTCGTTGGTTCTGCGCATCGCTACAAAATTAGAATTTCAAAGCAGATAAAGTTGAAATTCAATAAAATATCACTCTTCATTTTCCCAGTTTTCAGATATTTCGTTTGTTGACGGTCTCGCATATCTTAATTCGAGCGACATCTTTCTCAAAATCAGATTCTCAACAAGTCTTGGAAATATGCCAGGTTAGTAGGTGCAAAATAGCGCGTCGCAGAAGTGATGCAGAAACGCGCGACGAGAATAACGCAAAAAACGACGATAAACCACGACGCGCGGCTTCTGCGTCTTAACGCCGCAATGCCCCGAATCGCGGGGGCCTTTGTTCACGGATACGGCCCTGACGCAGCGCGCGACGAGCCTCTGCGAGGTTTCGTTCGCCTAGTTTCCGAGCGAGGACATGTAACCTTACGTATTCGAGCGATAATCGAGTTACGGTACAGACAATCGTCGCGGTACGAGGTCGGCTACATCGGACGATCGACCACCTGTCGAAAAGAGGGGTCGTTCGAAGGCGCGATCGCGCTGAAGATCGCGCGCGCGCGCGCGCGCGCGCGTCCAACCGACTGTTGTTCACCCACCTGTCACTTGAACATGCGTCGGACTCCACATTTTGGATTCGGCTGCTCCAGCCGCGTCGCTGCTTTCTCAGCTGTCTCTTACGTGACGGTGACGACAACAACGATGACGACGTCGACGCGCGAAGCGCCACGAACAAACAGTCGCATCACACGGCCATACTACCTCTTGGCACACTGTCGATCGCCTCGCTCGCGCGACTGCTCGACAACGTTCCGTCGTTCGCCGGCCAACCGTGCCGAACCGAAGAGTCACGTCGGCAACCGTTCACCTCACTGAGGGCTTCGCGACGACTATAGTCTACACTGCACCGCCATACCGCCGTTGCCGCCGACGAACAACCGCTACACACGTCCGTCGCGTTGGCGCGCCAGGGCCGTATGTCGCAGGGCGAGGGCGCCCTGCAGACATGCTACGGCATCTCGATGTTTTCAATGATGAGAACGTTCAGTGGAATTTTTGTATGAGCTGCGGACGTACAAAATGCATCACGATATGCGGCAGGTTCTTTATGATTCGTGATGAAATCGTAGCAGTCTCCCGCTCGTGACAATTGGTGGGTATGATTGAATTAGGAACGAAATGGGAATTTAGTTTGTAATTTTAGTGTGTGTTCACTCTTTAGATTCGATCCTGCGCAGCGCATGCGTCGAGCGATACGAGAACAGCAAGGCTGTATCGTAATGATGAAAAGTATATCAAAACGATGAGTCTGGAGATTTCAAAAGAGACATACAAGTCTCGCGTTAAACATAACGTTTTGATCACACAATTTGCCTCTGACCTGCGTGCGAAATATTTTCCCGTACGCTTCCCGCACATTTGATTAAGCATATCCTCAATGAAAAATTAATTAACCGTCTGCGACCTGCGATCTTGATGCCGATAAGAAACGTCCCGCATAGTCGTGAGAAACGTTTTGTGTGAATGTGAAGAAACGATTGATTCAACTCAGACTCAAGAGCAACACGAATAGCGAGACGGCAGTAATAAATATATATAGTTGACGAATTTAATTGGTTCAAATATTTTAGGTCTGAATAAGGAATTTCCTGATATTAATTTTAATCTACTAACCTCAAGAACCATTACTTCCTACTTTTCATGCATGTGTAAACAAAATCTCTTTCTCTCTCTCTCTCTCCCTCTCTCTCTCTCTCTCTCTCTCTCTCTCTCTCTCTCTCTCTCTCTCTCTCTCTCTCTCTCTCTCTCTCTTTCACTCACTCTGCAAATCAACTTATATATAGTGTTGTATGTCAATGACCGTTTTCACCTTCATCGTTTTATGCCCGTGTTTTTAGCCTATCGGAGATATGAGTTTAATCGGCATTATAATTCCTGCGAGACGAACCTCGCCCACGTTCTATGAAGTATTCTCGTGTTGTACCTGCGGGAGAAGATGTTGCATGCATATGCGATGCGTGAGACTTTGAATGAGCATGCACGCACAACGCTGCGCAGTCGTAATTCCGATTCGTCATCGTTGAAATATGAATGTACACATAAAGTTCACGATCGGACGCACAAAGACGAGGCGCAGCGTACGCGCAAGGCCGATTAGTGCAATTGCCAGGCTTATGCATTTCATATAGATTAGGCGTGTCAATTTCAAGTTCGTCATTCTTCTTCAATGGCGAATTCGCGATTCAATAAAAGCGACTATCGAACATTTGCGATAGCAATTGCTACATCACTCTGATCGATTGTTTTGCTACATCATACACCGTGACTGTTGGTAGCAGCCATTTTAACTGCGTTCTCACGTTTGAGCTTATCTGCTGTGCGAAGAGACGAAGGAAAAGACGAGATCGCAAAGCTGCTTCGGACGATTTTATTACGTTCACTGGGGCCGGATAATCGCCCACAGAGATTACCGAAGAACGGAAGTGGCGAGGTGATAGTCGCATGCGCGCGCGCCTCTCCATAATTGCCGTGCATCATTGTGTTTCCTATTTCGTAATCGTTTAATTGGGACTTCAGCTCGAACGGTGAGTTTATCCTCAAAGCACATCGGTGAACGATTAATTTCCCGCAAAAAAATACGCGCGATACTTTCAAATAGCGCAGATATAACATGCGAATTTATTTATACGTAACAAAAAGGTTTAATTTGCGAGCCTCCGGCGTGAATTCGTTCTCTCGTGGGTCATAAAACATGTCGCACGTAGACTTGTCACATACACACAGGCCTGGTGATGTCTGAAGATAGGCGCGAGCGATAGCCGCGGAGTCACGTATCATTAATTGTTCACCGGCTAATTGCACCCTGTGCTAAAGGAACTTTTTTTCCGACAAGGCGCGCCTCCTTTTATTAGCGCGCGATCGCTTTATATCACACAGGCTCGCCTTCACGTTTTACAACATTCGTGGAATCGCCTTTAATCGTGTGCACTGATGTTTGTTCAAGTTGCCATTGTTGCGCCGATAAGGTTACGTCATGTCTTCGCATTGTGCTCGCGAGTCCCGCTTGAATCGGACCGATCGTTCGCGTTTCATGGAAAGAAGATAATTAGCATATTCATCGGGCGCATAGACATTAATTGCAAAAGCCGTATCGAGAGGAACGCAGGTATATATTAAGAATAAGTCTACTGATTGTTATTTGCTTATACGAACGGTATCACGAGAGAAGAAACCAAGTACGGTATCGTCACGGTAGTCGACCATTGATTCACTCACTGTCAAGGTAATTCAATGATAAATATCTGAATTTATTATTGTCGCAACTCGGAGAATGTACAAAAAAAAAGTGATATAATCATTTATCAGCAGATCAGCAGTGTTCGCAATCTTAACGAGGTAGTTTTCGAGAAACCGTCGCGTCAAATGCCAAATGTGCTGGCATATTAAGCGTAATTAGTAACTTCACGATAAAGTTCACGATAAAGTTAACTTCACAATTTTCTAAATTTCACATATCCAAAAAAGATCCATATCCAAACATATCCAAAGAAAAGTGTCGTTCCGAAGGGATTATGCATACGATATGTTTACGACCACGTCCTGGACGTTATTTCTGTTCTTCAGTTTCTCCGTTAACCGGCTTCGAGGGTCGCACGTAGATACTTATTAATTGCAATAACTTATCGCGTATTTTTTTTTCATGATTCCAGTATTTCGCGTGCAATTGAAAGCGCCCGTTCAAATATTCAATATAGAAACCTAACCCTCAATTCGCGTGTCTCCGTGCTACTAATGCTACTTTTATAATTGCTGGATACGTCTTTAGAAATGGTTATAGATTCAAAACCAGTTATCTCACGTATTTCGTAGTAATTAAATGCAAAGCACATGCGCACGTGGGTACAAATTATAGAAAGAGACAATAACATGTAAATATCTATACATTTACTTATCAGCGACACAAATCATTTAACTACATACATTTGATACATGCCTTAACATAGTTGACAGCAACAAAAAGCGTTGATAAAACAGCAACAACAAAAACAACTGAAAAAGATGAATAATACAAATGTTGCAAAACCGAAAAAGAGTGAGAGAGAGAGAGAGAGAGAGAGAGAGAGAGAGAGAGAGAGAGAGAGAGATGAAAAATTGGGGGAATTTCTATCCGAGCATGCGAATTATCTATTTATTTCTCGTGAAATGTAAAGAGCACAGCTCTCTCCAAATCAATTCAGCATTACTTTTTGTCGATCGATATAATCGACTTCGATCTAACGTGCTGCTTCGCTCACATGGCGCCAGGCGGCGCCGCAGTACAGTCAACAGAGTCACGTTCACCTTCGTTTATCAGTTCGCCCCTCTCTTGTCTTACCGGTCTGGCGAGTTCGCGACGTCTCCTGCGTGGAATCCTGCGTTTGCCTTTCGTTCGAGAAAATTCGTAGTTCACGTGAGTCGTAATAACCGTCTGTTTCGCTCGTTTCAAACGACAGCTGTACGCGATCGTGCGCGGTTTGCACACGCGAGAGAATCTCTTTCCCCGGAACTGCTTTGCGTAAAGTGCGAGTCAGCATCGACGGGACAGCCGCGTAAGTAACGGAAAGAATATTTCTCGCAATTCAAATCTAGAAGGAAAATTTGTGCAAAGTGAGGGGAAGGGGGGAGGGGCAGAGAGAAACCGACTATCGCGGCGTGAAACGTACGGTGTCGACGGGACAGGAGACGGGAGAGAGACAGAAACTCGCAAGGAGCTTTCGGAAATTCATGAATTCGGGGCCACGACCGTTAGACTCGTAACGTCCGCCATTACGTAACGCCGAACGAACGATTCTCGAATCCGATCGCGCCACCAGCTCTATCTAGCCATCGGCTCGAACAATCGCTCGCTCGCTCGCTCGCTCGCTCGCTCGCTCGCACGCACGCACGCACGCACGCACGCACGCACGCACGCGCGCACGCGCGCGCGCACGCACGCGCGCACGCACGCACGCACGCACGCACGCACGCACGCACGCACGCACGCACGCACGCACGCACGCACGCACGCACGCACGCACGCACGCACGCACGCACGCACGCACGCACGCACGCGCGCACGCGCGCACGCGCGCACGCACGCACGCACGCGCGCAATCGAATCGGTTAGGCTCGGCGGACAGTGAGAGCGAGAGCGAGGTGGCTGAGCGACTGCTCGCGACACTTCGGGACTTTTCGCCATCTCTTCGCGCGCGCTACGATCGCCCGTTGTGGCGGCATACGTTCGTTCGTCGCGTATACGTGCGCGTGTCTCGCTCTCGCCGTGTTCCCTGCCGTCTGTCTCACGTCGTCGCGCGTGACTTTCAACGTTCCGCGCGTTCCTCGTGAGAGATCCGTGTGCTCCGGTCCAGCGAGACGCAAAAGCCCCTAGCCAAGGGTACAGCCGTGCACGTAATACTCGCACGTCTCCGCGTTTCGCTGTTTCGACTCCTCTTCTCACTTTCCTCTTGTGCGCGTACCGAGGGTGAAACCGAAACATGTCCTCTCTGAAGGACGATAAAGCACCGTGCGCCCGGCTCTGCCACATCGTCAAGTGGGACGACTTCCCCGGCTACGGTTTCAATCTGCACGCGCAGAAAGGCAAGAACGGCCAGTTCATCGGCAAGGTAGACGACGGCTCGCCGAGCCAGGCTGCCGGCCTTTGCCAGGGCGACCGTATAATCGAGGTGAACGAGATCGACATCGCGAACGAGACCCACAATCAGGTGGTCGAGCGCATCAAGGCGTTCGCCAACGAGACGAAGTTGCTGGTGGTCGACCAAGAGGCCGACGATTACTTCAGGGAGAACAACATCGTTATCAAGGGCACCATGCAGAACATCAAGGTGATCAAGACGCCGGAGAGGAATCCGAACAGCGTGGAACACGAGGATCGTTCAGACGGCAGTAACTGCTCCGTTGACGAGGTAAGGATGCTGCTCTCTTCCGGTTACTTTCCTTTCTCTCTCTCTCTCTCTCTCTCTCTCTCTCTCTCTCTCTCTCTCTCTCTCTCTCTCTCTCTCTCTTTCTCTCTCTCTCTCTCTCTCTCTCTCTCTCTCATTATCTTATCTTTGACCATACCAGGCGCACGATTTATGGCGATATTTTTTAAGAGCCTTTACGTGAGCCTCAATTACTCCAGTTCTGATCATTTCTAATAATTAATTGAAAACTGATTAACATCTTAATATCATACGCATAGCAACTGGTTGGATGATTCATGACGATTCATTTAAACATCGCGCAACGTGCATTTTATATTGTGACTTTATTTCAAAGTGAATTGACTTGTGAATGAACGTATCATATTGAAAGAAACATTTACACGTCTAAATATCGAATAAATTGCGGCTACATTTTTCATAGTGACTTGTGTGTCGAATAAAAATTTTACTTTCAAGTAATGCGGAACAGAACTTGATATTTTCAGATTTAAGGACCGTTTTTCTCGACAGCATGCTGACATTCAAAAACGTTCGATTCGATTGACGTTTGTATCAAGCGTGTAATTGGTATTGAGGCGTAGTAGATGATTAGATTCGCGTAATGAACGTCGTTCGTTGAAATAATTTCATTGTTGGTGCCAAAATCACGGACGACTTGAAAATCGCGGTCGAGTGTTGAAATTCTCGGAGTGACGTGGCGTAGAAATCATAAGCGTGCAGTAACTATATTGCAAATGAAAGATATTTGAAATAACGGTCATTTCTCCTCTCTCTCTCTCTCTCTCTCTCTCTCTCTCTCTCTCTCTCTCTCTCTCTCTCTCTCTTCTCTCTCTCTCTCTATCTCTCTCTTCTCTCTCTCTCTCTCTCTCTCTCTCTCTCTCTCTCTCTCTCTCTCTCTCTCTCTTTCTCTCTCTCTCTCTCTCTCTCTCTCTCTCTCTGCACGTTAATTTAATAATTTCTATAACGACAAAAATACTACGAAGATATTCGAGCGTTAGAATATTTCTCATATTAATGAAGTTTCGATCGAGCATGTTTATCGACGATTTCCTCATCATCGGGTGCTTACGCAAGAAACTGATCGTGCAAGCTTCTTTCCGCGTTAATCCTCTGCCTGCTTGTCGCAATAATCAAAGCAAAATCAATTTCTGCAAAAGAAGAGATATTATTAATTTAGTTAGATATTATTAATAACTTTTTTTTTTATTGCTCTTTTCCGTTCCGCTGAGGATGTCGGATTTCTTTTCTACCGGGTAAATCCCGAGGAAGCGATTAACGCGCGTGCATGCGGTTAATTATCTGTTTTCCTCGGCTGCTTCGAAAGTCGGCGCGACGCGCCCGTATCGAAAGAATCCGTGGTATTCCCGTGGAATTTAACCGTCGCGCTACGAGTCCACCTGTTGGATGTCGTCGTTGCGCTTGCTCGCGTGTTTACGTCCGTCCATGCTAGAAAGTGTCCGGCACGTTCGCGAGATCGACAGACGCGTACGCGCGCGGTTCCCTCGGCACGCAGCGACCGCGATGTACCATGTTGAATAGTTTTTTTTTATTTCCGTCGGAATGCTTTGTCCAGATCCCAGTGCAATAAAAGAAATAAAACACAATTACCCAGTGCGACGAAAGTACGAAAAAACAGCGTGTGTCCCGTCAACTTGAGTCTTAAGCACGGTGCATATATTTTATACGTCACTATTAATCTTTGGAAAAGTACATTATTTTCTCTTTTCTTAACTAAACATGTCGAAAAAAGTGAATTGTACAGATCGAAAAAATCGTACGGAGCTTATTGCGCTCTCCGCTGTTGAAAGTAACAATTTGGGGAATTTATTCAAGTATTAATGGTACATATTCTTTCGCGAGTGCGCGAGGAGTACGCTATTTACGGGACGTGATTGTCGCGTTGTCTCTGTACTTTTTACGCTGTACCGCACGTATCCTCCTGCTTTTATGATACGTTCACGCAAACACAAGCAGGTGCGCTGTTATTGAACGCACATGCGTCATCCTGTCGTAATTAGCTATTTCTCCGTCGAACAGTTTCGCCGTTTCGCTGTGCTCTTTCAGCTGTTTCAGTGATCGATGTGTTGCAATAAAAGCAGCCGGAGCTAGAAATTCGATATCGAGAGCGACGCAAAAGAGAATACACGCTGTGCCGATTTTCCCGCTGTGAAATGACGATGAAAGTCAATTACGCGCGATGTAATCGCTCAACAAACTCGCATTAGCGAGTTAATTTTAGCGTGCCTTTTGGATTTGAGCGTTCTTCGTTCGCACGGCGCCGGTTTATCGCACTCACCCGTAAAATCGTCCCGTTAAAGCTTATACATGACGCCAGAACAATGTTCTCGCATCATACACTCGGATCTTATCTCGCGCGCAATATTGCTCGCTTTATCTAGGATTTGTACGAACTTTACAGTACCAATTTTTTTTATTCTCGCTTTGAACGCGCGCGCATACTTGACTCACGCGAGCGTAACGATCGTGTACGCTCGATCATATTTACGAGGGGGACAAGGGGAGAGGGGACCGTGCGCGCGCGCGCGAATCGAGTTCCATGTGAATATCTTTTCACAATCATAATCGAGTACGCCGTAATTTATGCCGCGCGCGCGCGATCATAGCAATACCTTTTACGGCAATAAAACGCCGTACGGTGAAGTGCGCGCGCGGATTATTTAACAGGTAGTGTTCGCAAAGCGATAGGAAGTGATTTAGAATTCGATCGTCAAAATCGTTTTTCTTTCTTCACTAGCGGGAACGCCTGCGGAAGGTGCACAGCAACGAGATGCCCAGCTTGTTTTCTCATTGCGATCGTATCCTTTTCTTACTCTTTCTATCACTGTCGGCGATGACGCGTCTCTTTGCACGCTGACGCGTGTCAGCTGACTAATAACGAGAAATCGCGTCTTTTTTTTCCTTCCTTTCGTCGATGATGCGTGACTATGCTGCGCGGTGATTTCCCACCGTGCGCATCGAGTCTCTTTCATTATCAGTTGCGAGGAGAGATAAAGCCTTGATTGAAAGATAGGAAATGACTCCGGTAGAACTCGGAGCCCTCGCGAAAGTCAAAAGTCACGGCGCATTGTTAAGGGTGTTGTTCATAGAACCCTTTGATTCTTATAGATCCAATTTCTGCAAATTATTTTTATAGTAATTACTTGTTGCTATCTCTATCCTCATCTCTATTATGGAAATTTAATTTATGAATCTTAACTTCTGGGTAGCAAAAATACCGATGAATTGATCGCTGTTTATTAGAGCCACACACACACACACACACACACATACGTTTCGTCAAGGTTGCACGTGCCATAAAATGCACGATGCATGAAGCATGTTTCATTGTTTTAAGGAAATAACGATCCTTAGCGTCACAGTTCCTCCTATGTCACAATTCACTTGTATGGCTTCTCCTGATGGTGATGTGATGACACATTGGTCTCGACGATCGCTCGGATATATGTTCGTCAATCATCCACTCTCTTACCTTTATCCAAGGATTCAAAGGATTTATTTGCTTCTATGGTGTAACAATTACGTCGTTATTAGTGCGTCTCATTGTGGAGGGAAGAATCTCTCTCATTCTCGCGACTCTCGACTTAATTCCACTAAAGCTGATTCAACTAGGGACAAGAGGGTTAATTGGCATAAATTAACGCACTGTAAATAAGCCGTCGGTGTTCGCAAGCACAGTGTTGCTTATCGTCGATGGTCCTCGTTTTACGTTATCGGTGTTTTCACATTGTTTAAACATCCATCGCACATTTCACAGCTTATGTGAGCACCGCGAGCTAAAACGTTATCTATAAGCCGAGCCGATAATATCCGCCGCATCTTCGGGAACATCTGTATTTGCTCGAATCGGGAACGGAATTGCGAAAGCGATGCTTATGTTTCTTCCTTGCCTAAGACACGCGCGGTTCTCCTCTCTGTCGATCTTCTCCGACAACGTCAAAGATCGAACGAAGCAGTGAGCATTACAATACATCTATATGTGTAGTGAATGGGAATAATTGATTGTAAATCCCATTAGAGAGAGAGAGAGAGAGAAGGACGAATCGTGACAAAGGACGAACGCACAACCTACTACTATGCATCGCGTCCTTTCTTTCGTTTCCAGGTCACAGAATCGCGTTTGTTGCTCTCGTTGGAAGCCGTTTACCATGTAAAATCGACAGTTTGCGTTATTATTTCTCTCACAGCTTTCGTTGCAGTGTCATTACATAATTACAACGTGTCGATCGAGAGAATCAACCCCAACACGTCAGAGCGCTAAGCCGCGATGCGTTCGCGATTTATCTCTTCGCTTTTAATTGGCAGGTGATACGACGAGGTTCTTATCGCATACCTGTCCTCGGTTCGAGCATGAGCGCGTGTTTATTACGCGACATGAATGTGAATAACCCCGATCGCGTTCTAGAATACAAGACAAAGCGGATCGATGAGAACACACGTGTGTAGTCTGTCGATGTTGAGGCGACGCTTCGTCTCTCTCTTGACGTATTTTTTATTAACACTCATCGGTATTAACTTGACAATTGTTATCACGTTGCTGTGATTGCATTTTAATTTAATTTTTTAATAGCAATATCGATTATTTCATTACAGGAATCTCACAGTGTTTCATCACTTACGTCTTCGTTTTATAGTATCTTTTCTCAACGTTGATCGTATATTCATTTTGAGACTAAGAATGTTACGTGACACATGTCTAACACATTTGTTACCTCGTCGTGGTGTAGCGTCGCTCGTTCAGAAGTATTTGCGTATATAGGTGCCGCCGGGATGAATGAAATGTGATTGAATCATGCTGAATAAGCGGAAGCTTTGTTGATTCGCACGCGCTAACGGACCTTCGACTTACGTGCGACGACCATAAGAATTGTCATTTGATATTTCCCATCTTTGATCGCGTGAGCAACGTTTTCTCGAAGGTGTTAAGTACTGTTTTTTTAGTATCTAGTGAAATACCTGCCGTT